CATGCTGGCTGCCCTTAACTTCTGCAGGCTTCATTTTACACATTGTAAAAGTAGCTGTATGGAACAAGCAAGTTGATTCTTGCCTGAGTTAGTGCTCTGGTAAACCTGGCTCTGTACATAATTCTTTCTTCTAAGTTGCATCAGCCAGATGCTCAGGAAAGTAGCAGTGCATATTTGGCTTTGTTGATTGCTGAATGTCCTCTCTCTCTCTCTCTTTTTTTTTTTTTTTTTTTTTTTCATGGAACCAGGGATTGAACTCAGGCCCTTGCGCTTGCCCGGGAAGTGCTTATTCCACTGAGCCATCTCCCCAGCCCCTGACTGCCCTTCTCATGCTGCTTGACTTAATTGTTTCTGTTTTGTTCTCAACCTCATGGCAGTCATTTGCTACTGAACTGAGCACCTTCTCAACAGAGCCCAGCCTTTACCTGAGTGCTTCCATGCAGCTTCCGGGAGGTCCCCACTCTGTGCCTCTTCATCTTCTATCTCTCAGGGCCACTGTGCTCTCCTGAGGTGTTACTGGTTGTTCACTGGTTTCAATTTCAGGCAGGGTTTCTGGGCACCTGAGTTTCTGAGTTTCTCTTTCCTTGAGAGAATGGTCATTTTAAAATTTATTGTTTATGTATATATATATATTTTTTTAGTTATAAGGATTGAAACCAGAACCTCATTCCTGCTAATCAGGCATCTTACTGACCTATATCTGGTGTGCATGCGTGCGTGCATATGTGTGTGTTGCTAGGGAATAAATGGGCTGGCATATCCTAGGCAAGAACTCTACCACTGAGCTGAGAGTTCCCACCTTGGGTTATAACTTTCTGTCACTCTTTCAAATCCTGGAAGCAGTTGCTTCGCATGTTTTGATGTTTGTTCACAATGGGAGAGCTTGCTAATGCTGAGTCCTCCCTCAGAGCCAAAAGTGCATGATAATTAATGATAAATCCTTGTATTTGCTGCATCCTACCAGGATGTATCTGTGCTCTCTGTTGTGAATTTGTATGAGTCCACTCAAATAAAAGTTCTTCTCTGGGTTTTGTTATGGGAAAAACTTTCTCTCTTAAATTAGGACAACATTTTATGATTTTTCTAAAATTCTATTATATTTTATATAGCATTGATTTGTAAATGTGATTTTTTTCAGTATTCCTTTGGTTTATGTTATTTTCATCAATTTGAGTACTGTGTTCTAGAGATGTAGCATTTGACAAGACGTAGCCAAAACTATAACCTTTTGAAGCTTTCTTAAAATTGGAAAGTTATACTTTGGCCAACCATCAAGTTTAAAAATGATTTTTCTAGATCTTATTAATTCCAAATTCAAATATTTAATGAGTGTATTTTATAGCTAATGCTGGCACTGAACTTGGTACTGTGGATCTAGTGTAGAATAAAATAAGCATGAACGATCCCTACTCTTGCTGAGTGTACATTCTGTTGCCCCCCCAACCTCCTTTTTTATACCAGGGATTGAATTCAGGACCTTGCACTTGCCAGGCAGGTACTTGTGCTGCTGAGCTATGTTCCTGGTCCCTGAGTGTACATTCTGGTATTGAAGACCAGCAATAAATACAAAGAAACAACATTTAAAAATTATAAATTATAGTATATACTAGGAGAAATAACCAGAAAACTGAGATAGAGCCCAGTGCGATGCTGTTGGGGGATCAGAAAAAGCCTCCTTAAGACATTTCATATTTCAGCTGAATGATAGGGAATAGTGGATAAGGAACAGATTTGGCGAATAACCTAGGTGCTTGCAAGCACAAAGTACAACACTGTATTTCCATCCATATGTACCTTCCGGCACTAGGAAGCAATGAATATCCTAGTTTCCATATTTCTCTAAGTACCACAGAACATTGGTACAAAGTGATATGTGTTTCTCACAATGAGTTCTTAATAGGAATACATGTGTGAAGGTCCAAGTGCTGCATTTTGCTGAGTGCTATAAATGGAACTTACCCAGAAGAGTTCAGGCTGTACATCCTTGCACACACAAACTACACCACTATTCTTTCACTTCCATCAATTCCTTGGGGAGAAGAGAGTTCGGACTCTAATGGGTTTCTGAGGCTTTCCTCAGTACTGTAAGCCTGAGGAAAGGCTTAGTGTAATAAAGGAACTGAAAGGAGTGTGTGTCTGAAACATGCAAAGAGATGAAAATGGCAGAATTTCAGCTGGTATAATAGATGTAGGCTAGATCATTTGGGACCTGTGGACTGGCCAACAGCTCGGTTTCCTCTTAACTTCCTTCTTCCAACCCTAAGCTAAGTAAGGTAACCACAGACTGGCCAGAACTCCTGAATGAAAGAGCATAAACTGGATGGAATGTCAGGCTGGCAGATGTCATCTGGCTTTGTTTTTGGAAATTGTCCTGTGAGCTTATATGTGTAGAAATAGCATGGATTCTTCATGCAGACTGCCTTTGAAACTGATTCTGTATGGTCCTGAGGCAGGTTTATTTCACTGTACCTCATATTTCCTGTTTGTAGTCGGGCAATAATATCTCATTGGAACTTATGAAGATGAAGATAATATGTGCATCAAAATATGTAGTCTTTGGCATGATCTACTGAATGCACATGCTTTCAGAAAAGAATTATTGAAAGGATATTTTGTCCCATTCAAGCCAGCTGTTCACCTCCTAGGTATTTTTCCAAAAGAACTGAAATCATCACACCACAGCGATGTATGTACCCTAATGTTTATAGTAATGCAGTTTGTCATAGCTAAATCTTGGAAACAACCTAAATGCCCATCAACTGAGGAATGGATAATAAAGAGTGGTATTTTTACACAGTGGAATATTATTCAGCTATAAAAAAGATAAATTGGAGGCTTTTGTAGATAAATGGATGCAACTAGAGACTATATTGTTATGTGAAATAAATCAATTCCACATGTGCAAACATCATATTTATCTCTAATGTGAGAACCTGGAAGAGAAAAGAAAATCTGAAAGGTACAGTAGATACTATGAAAGGGAAAAAAATTGTTCAGTGGGAAGGAAAAACTGGGATGAAGAAAAGGACAAAAGAAGGGAAAAATATATATTTGGGTATATATGCAGGATAGTTTGGATAATAGTACTGCCAGTTTCTGCTAGTCTTTTAAAATGAGCAGTTAATGCTTAAATTTTTTTCTTTTCATTCCTGTTTTTTCTTTTGAATTTTACAACTTTTTTGTTATTGTTTTGTTTTTTCTTTAAACTAATCTTGCACATTTATATCTTGTAACCTGAACAACTACTTTGAAGATAACATCATGCAGTGCAGTAGCCATTGTTGAATTCCTATTACTTTGTTTAGTGAAATTTTGTATCATTTCTAATGATTTTTTTCTATCACTATTTTATATTCTTAAAAGGAGAAAAAACAGCTAAGTTCTGTTAGCACCAGGTCTTATCGCATCATTAGAATCCTGCCACAGTGGCACAGTGGACTACCTTGGTAAATAAAATAGGTTTTAGTCTTCACTCAAAAAAAAGAAAAGAAAGAAAGAAAGAGGGGAGGGGAGGGGAAGAGAGGAAGAGTATTATGTGTCAGGCTTTGTACTAGGCATGGAGACTAAATAGTAAACAAAACACAAATATTAGCTTGCTTTGGGTTAAATCCTAGTGCCAAGATAGGTGACAGTAAGTGAAAAGATGTAAATGGTTACTGCACACAGTGGCACAAAAGTGAGGGCTGAGGCACTGAGGGCATGTGCAGCCATAGAGAGCAGCGGTGGCTACAGGCTAAGGGGAGGCCTGCCTCAGAAGATGGGGCAGTAATGCAGTTCACAGTCTCGGGATTTGGCGGCAGCTTGAAGGTGGAAATGACGTGATGTGCTACCAACAGGTCTTTTTAGCTTAAGTAACTAAAAGGATAAAATTGCTATTTATGAAAAGGGGGATGATTTTAAACAGAGTAAATTCAAAAGTAAAGATGACTGCTGTGCTGGCTGAGACAGCAAATGAGACTGGGTGTGGTGGCGTGGGCCTGTAATCCCAGTGCTTGGAAGGCAGAAAAATAGGAAGGATCACTACGAGTCTGATCTGTGTAGTGAGACTGTAGACCTTGTACTAAATACATAAAACAAAAACAAAGGTAAAGACGGGGAACTTAAATGATAGATATCTAAATATCGTGCTAGATACCTAGGTATAATTGTTAGCAGTTGTTACTTATTATTGAATGCATATTAACTGTACCACATAATATAAACACTGGTTCTGTGGTAGATAGTTAACAGTGCAGAGAATTAAAAGAGTTGTCAAAAGTAGTGTTCTTGCTCTTAGGACATTTATAGTCTAATGGGGAATATAGCAATTGACCAAACAACCATAATGTTGGTAGTTTTTTCTTTTAAGGAATAATAGCCTTTTTAAGTTAAGCTACCTAGAAAAAAATAAAGATAACTTAATAAAATTATAGATATCCCTTGAGCTCTAAATCTCTTAGGCTTTCATGTTCAGATAAAAATATATATGCATCGATGCTTCAAACTAAATGATTTTCTCCAAGAAACATATCTTGGAAGTTTTCCAGTTATTCATAGCTTGTCCTTTTTTTTTTGTTTGTTTAAGTTGGAATAGGGTCTCACTCTGTAGCCCAGGCTGTCCTTGAAAATCTAGGCCATCTTCCTGCCTCAGCACCTCAGGTTCTGGGACTACAGGTAGCACCACTACAGCCAGCTTAATGTATTGTTCTTAAAATTAGTTAAGTAACAGGAGGGAATGACATTTCATGATTTAGCTTCATTTAACTGAAATAGGATTTGTTACATATTAAACCTAGTATTGAAAGCTATTATATATTGCATGAAAGATTTACACTGTTAGTTTTCTCCTTTGTTTCTTTTACATATGTAATAATATACATTTACTTCTTATTAGGTTCAGTAGTTAAAGATCATTTTGTTTTGCACCTGAGGTCTTAACAGTACTATTGTGATATGATGCTGTGGTCTGATCACTTATTCTCATAAATTTTAAGAATTTTTGTGTTTTCACAAATTCACAGGTCCGTCATAAGTCATCACAGAATGTGTATGCTATGAAGCTGCTTAGTAAGTTTGAAATGATCAAAAGATCAGATGCTGCATTTTTCTGGGAAGAAAGAGACATTATGGCCTTTGCCAATAGTCCCTGGGTGGTTGAGGTAAGCATACTAAACTTGAAACTTTATTTCCTTTTTTTATGAGTTCTCATTCATAAGACTTTGTCAAAAATCCTATGCCTCGGTCACTCAGTAATAATGCAGTTGTTAATAAGATGTGATTCAGCATACTGGTTTACTGTTGCTACTACGCCTGCATAGACATAAGATGGAATAATTGCTTAAATTGGCATATGGAAACAAGTATTGTTGCAGGTTTTGCTTTTTCAGTTTCCTTATGTACAAAATTGGCTTAGGGCCAGCCAAATAGCTCAGCGATTGAAGTACCTGCAAGCAGACACAGGGATGGGGGCTTGATCCCTGGGCCTGCAGTGCTGGCCGGCCCCACCCCCGGGGCGCACTGAGATGGCAGTTGAGACTGGGTATGGTGGCATGTGCCTGTAATCCCAGCTCTTGGGAGACTGTAAATAGGCAGATCACTACAAGTCCGATCTAGTAGTGAGACCCTGAATACCCTGTAGACCCTTCCCTAAAATAAAAAAAAAAATTGGCTTAATCATCAGAATTCCATTATCCTCTGCTTTTTACTGTGATTTACATCATTGGAAAATAGTAAATTAACTGAATTATTTGGAAGGACAGTACATGTTAATGTTAGTCAAAGGATGTGTGTCAGTCTTAAAGAGAAAACCTAAGGATAGCCACTTTGGAAATTCTCCTATAGTCCTGTGTATATTACCAATGACAGTGGTGGGAACTGATGGCACATGTTGCCACAGAGGCTTTTGGCATCGTTGAACGCTCTTAAAAGTGTCACCATCACTGACCTATGAAAACACTTCTGCTCTTGCTGCTTCTTTGAATGGATTAAGGAATTTGTGATTCTGGGGGCTGGGGATTTAGTTCAGTGGTAGAACACTTGCCTAGCAAGCTGGAAATCCTGGGTTTGGCCCTCAGCACCAAAACCAAAAAATAAACCTCTACTTCTCTGGAGATTTATAGTATTAGAATTGTTTAAAAGTACCAATTTAGATGGCTATGTCATCTGAAGATTGATTCATAATCCCCCCTCCCATCCTTTGTTGATTGTAGCTAATGACTAGAAATTTTTGTGGCAAATTATGTACCATGATACTTAACTTGATTAAAGAAGAGTGGTAGGGTCAAGGATGTAGCTCAGCAGCACAGTGCTTGCCTGGCAAGCATGAGATAATGAGTTCAGTTGCCAGTACCAATAAAAGAGGGGAAAAAAAGTGAAAATAAAGAATTTTTCCACTTTTTGTTACATTACTTTCATAATAGGTTTCATTGCCATTTCCAATTAACCATTTTGTTTACTGGAATCTTTTAGTCTTTAAATTCTGTTAAGTAGACCCTTATAGAGTATTAATAGATAAAGATAGGATCTCTTCAATTTTGAAATAATCTGAAGAAGTAGATCAGTGGTGAAAACATAGTATATTTGGAAAAAAAATACTCAGGATCCACAATCACACAAAAATTAGTATCTTTCCCATATACCAATAATGTAGTAAAAGAAATCAGGAGAATGATTCTATTCATAAGAGATTGGGAGAAAGATACATACAAATTTGCCTAAGCAACCATGTGAAAGGCCTCTATACTGAAGATTAAAGAATGCTGCAGATATTGAAGATGACTTTAGGAAGTGGGAAGCCTCCCTTGTTCATGGATTGTTAAAATGTCCATATTTCCAAAAGTGAACTACAGATTTAATGTAGTACCTATTAAATTACTAATACCATTCATGGAACTAGGACAAAATATGCTGTTTCATGTGGGATCAGAAAGGACTGAAATAGCCAAAATAGTCCTGAGCAGTGCTGGAGGCTTCATAATAGCCTGCACTATAAAGCCACAGTGACAGTACAACTTGGTACACCACCAACAGGAGAACCAGTAAAGTAGAACAGAAGACCCAGAAACAAGCCAGGCACCTATAGCTGGCCGAGTGTTGACAGAGGTCCACAAGACCCATGCTAGAAAAAAAGCTGCTTTAGCAAATGGTGCTGGGAAGACTGGATATCCACTTGTGGAAGATTGCTCCCTGTACTAAAATCAAATCAAGATGAATCACACCATCATGACATATGTCTAGATGTCAGAGTCTCATGTACTCATAGGTGAGTCTCTTCAGAGGTAGCTCGATCTAGGATGTGTGATGTGGTGGGGGTGATTTAAGGGTGTGTGCTTACTAAAATAGTCCACTGATTGGCTTGACATAGTTCTAGGTGTGAATGCCACCACCTGGGGGACAAGTAGCCTGGAACGGATAAAAGGGTGAGAGGAGGCTGCTGCTTCTCTGCTACTTTGCTGCCTTCTGCCCACCATGAACTGCTTCTCTGCCATGCCTGTTCTCCAGGCCACCCTGCCTTGGAGCCAGCTGATGATGGACTGAAATCTCTGCCAACTGTGAGCCAAATAAACCTTTTCTCCTTTCACTCTTGAGTGTCGGGTATTCTCTCTCAACAATGAGAAAGGAAACTAAGACACAGCACTAGGTACCAGACCAGAAGCTTTCATACTGCTGGAAGATAACAGAAGGAAAATATTTGAAACCACAGGCCCAGGCAGAAACTTTCTGATAGACTCCAATAGCACAGTAATTTTTATTTATTTATTTTTCATTTGTGTATTTGATACAGCTCAGACTCATAGTGATTCTCCTGTTTTCGGCCTCCCCAGCACTGGGATTGCAGGCATGTGCTACCACACCTGGACTCAGTTGCCGGCTCAACATGCCCTGCGAGTGGTGCTGGCACAGCATGCATGACTGGGGATCAAACTTGGGACCCAGAATTTGCCTAAGCAGGCACTTTGTCTGCTGAGCTATCTTGCCAGCCCAGCACAGTAAATTAAGAATCAGAAAATGTGATACTTCAGATTGAAAAGATTCTGTACAACGAAGGAAACAAAACAGTTAACAGAGTGAAGCATCAGGCAACATTCCCGAATGAGAGAAAATCTTTCTATCTATCCTTCTAATAGAGGATTGATATCCTACAGTATATAAAGAACTAAAAAAATGTAACACTTCCCCCCAAAAAACGTATAGCCCAGTCAATAAATAAATGGACAAATAAACAGAGTTCTCAAAAGAAGTACAAATGCCCAAGAATAGATGGGGGGAAGAAAAGTTCATCTGTCTTAGTCACTTTCTTATTTCTGGGACAAAATACCAGACACCCATAAGTTAAAGGAAGAAACATTTATTTTGACTCACAGTTTGTAGAGTTTTCAGTTTGTAGTCAACTGCCTCTAAGATGGGCACATGGCAGAGGAGAAACAGTCCATGGTACAGTAGGTGGGACGTAGCGCAGCAGTCCAGAAATTAGGTAGGATGTGTACATCTCCCCTTTTGGGCCATGGCACAGGTGTCACCTTTTCCCGCCAGGCTTCACCTCCCACCATCACACCCAGCTCTAGTGTGTAATCTAACATTGCATGTCATGATCCAGCCACCTTCCCGAAACCCACCTATGAGCACATGACATCTTTAGCTATTAAGGAAATGCGTATAGTGAGCCCTTCCTGGTCCTCCCAGAAATTTTATATTTGTAATTTCACAAAAAGTTACTGCAATTCTAGTAATTAATTCTAGCTTACTGCTTTCCAGTGCTACCTATGATGAGAATAAAGACACCAAGACATATTTGTAGTTATGGGGAGTCAGGGGGTCCTGAGTTCAGCCATGATGAGACAGGTATGCAGAACGAAAGCCTTGACCCAAGGTGGAATTTGGGTTTTATTCATTCATGAAGAAACAAGTGGCTTGAGGATGAGTGAGTATGATAATGAAGAGAAGTAGGTGAGCGCTGTGAGCTGGGCTAGGTAGGAGGCCCCAGATCACCTCTGCAATGTGCAGAGAAAGATATGCAGAAATAGTAATCTGCAAGACACAATTGAGATAGTATCTAGAATTCCCACCTTGATTAACACTGTATGCTGTTATCTGCATTCTGAGCAATTGCATCAAGGACAGCAATGTATAATACAAAACCCATGGTTGAATACCTCTCATCTTGGTCTTCTAAATGTGCACCATTTCTAATGTATTATCAATTATTATATTCTCTTGAAAATAAATTTTTAAAAAAGACAAAGAAAATTAATGTTTTTGAAAGCAAGTGTTTTTTTTTTGAAAGCAAGTGTTAATATTCAATTATTTGTCCAATCTTGCATAACTGTGTCTGCTAATCTGAGCAACAGATTTGACGATAAAAACAGATAATATAACAACCACTGTTAATTAGCCATTCCTATTTTGAAAATCTGTAACATATGTATTGTTGCATGTTACCCTGTTTCTTTTTCTTTTCTATTTGTTTTTGCTTCTGTTTTTATTCTTCAAAATAAGATTAAATTAGAAAAGAGAGAGAGAGTGTATCTAATGTCAGTGCTTCAGCTCTAATATGTAACCTTTCAAGCCCCAGAATGTCATAGCCTGCATCCCAACAGCAACATCTTGTCCCGGCTCATACAAGGGAACAGCAGGTTGGAGTCAGGGAAACACACCTGCCATTTTCAAAGACTACCATCAGCACCTCAGCTGGACCAGCATGCATTGCTTAAGCCCAGTTGAAGGGGTAAGGAAGAGTCCTAGCGAGCTCTGAACATGTCAATACATGGAAATAGTCAGGCTCAGCCAAAATGGAGACAGTTGTTCCTCTTTCAAGGAGAGTTGCTCAGGTGGTCATCCGTAAGTGCAGATTATAACTACATTACTGTTCTGTCTCATCCCAGTTAGTATGGCTGTCATCACAAATATTAAAACAGTCTACCATGGCTTTCCTAACAGTAGCCTATCCTGCTTCCTCCAGGGCATACTTTTATTCTGCTTTTTCCTCTTTTACTCGGCTCAAACTTGCTCTGCAGAGCCATTTTCTCCCTCACTCTTCATTGTTATTTTTTAAATAAAGTTTGTGACTGCTTTTGCTCCTTTTATTCAATTCTTTGAGATGACGAAAGCCTGGAATGTTAACTCTAGAAGGAGAGGTGAGCACCCCCACATACACACACTC